ATCGGAGGGTTGAGAAGCTGTGAAGTTCAGATTCTTACTGGTATAGCTGTTCTGATCATCTCTACGGTGTATCTCTGTTTGACTCTGCGATGAAGAGAAAGGTCTTCGTCATCCGCGTTCTTCTTTGAGCTCTGAGTGCGTAGAACAGAGGTTGGTACGAGTGTCGTGCTTGGATCCTCTATTGATAAGCTCCACAATAAGAACAGATCGATTATCAGCATAACACAGGTTTATAGATAATCGATTACATTGAGAATAAGAACTCAATTGTTCTTGTGTATCATACCGATAGTGGAAGCTTGGTGGTTTCGATCCACCCCCAGAGAGTAGAGTTTCGAACTCTGGGTAAACAATTGCTTGTGTCAATTTTACGTTTATGCTTCTCGATTTCAAACTCACCTAAAATCAAATAGAAATCGATTAGATTGTGTAACCAACACAAAGGGATTGACAAATTAAAACCTAACAGAATATGGTTGAAGTACAACATAACTCCATTTTAGTGTTACTCTATTTTGGAGTTAAAAATGGAGGTTTGGATTAGAGATGCTCTTATTGTTTTAATGATGCAGCATGGAAGAAAGAGACTTCGGGCAGTGGACTAGACTAGTGGTTTGGAGAAAACGCAGAAACAGACTAGGCTGGTAGTTTGAAGAGAACGCAGAAAGAGAGGAGGGTAGAGAGGAATATGCAGAGGCATGATATGATTAATGGGTTTAGGAGTTTTAAGAGTTTTGGTGTTTTATGTTACGATTAAAAGTTTTGATGTTCCTTTTTTTAATAGGCTTAAGATGTTTTTTTTGTTGTTAGGTTTATGATGCTTTGTACCTAATATATAAGATCTTTTATGATCAATAAGAAAGGGACTTCCAACAATTAACCTAATTCTCTAAGAGAGACTTGGGTTAAGAGGAAGCTTTGCTTTCATCATTTTCTCTCTTCTCACGTTAACAACAACGGCTCCGCTTATGAGATTGAAATCGAAACAATTAGCTCTTGAGGCAAAGTTACTAGATTGGTTACTAGAACGTATCAAAGCAAAGCGTCAAGTCTCATCGGTGCTTGAAGCTGAGGCATGGGATGTGATAAAAGCCACCCAAAAGGCTTGAGAGAAGGGAATCAAAAATCTTCATATATACTCACAGGTTTTAATTAACATTTTTCTTAAGAAGGAGTCACAGTCGGACGTCTATAACTTTCTTTTCGAGATTAGATTATTAGCCTCGTACTTTTGAGGACTATCATTTTCTTATGTTACACGAAATGCAAATATGTTGGCTGATTGGTTAATAAAAAGAACTCTCGACTTAATTTAATAAAACTATGTTTTGTGACAAAAAAAAAAAAAAATTACCAACACAAGTATTCTAATGGCTTGTATTACCCTTCTTAGGTTGAGGTAGATTGTGACAGGAGAAAAAACAAAACGTAAAACTGTTTTAACTTTCATCAAATTAAAGATTGTTTATCTTCTGTGTCATTCCTCTGTCGTTTCATCTTCAACAAAAGAAAAGCCCAGAAAAAGAGCGAGAAAACAAAAAAAAAAAAATTGTTGAGTGAAGCGGTGTGAACAAGAGAAAAAAGCTGGTTCCTTTTCTGTTTCTGGAGATGCGTTCTTGAGACCCTTCTTTGATTTTTTAGGGTATCTTAACTCAGATTCCTTGTTCGTTCGTGTTTGAATCTCGGTGATTTGGGAAATGGATGATTGGTATCAGCTAGCTCAACCTATTATCTTTGGTTTGATCTTCGCTTACCTTTTGGCTAAGCTAATCTCTATCCTCGTTGCGTTTAAAGACGAGAATCTCTCACTCACTCGCAACCACGAAACTCAATCGGAAGATGATGACTCTTCGCAGCACAAGCTCGAATCTTCAACAACCGTGATCGGTGGCGAGACCGATTCTCTAGTGGCGGAGCAAGGTAGCTC